GTGCAGTTTAAGGAATAATTTACACACATGAAAGTGTAAATATGTACTTGTGCAAAATTCCAGTGTTTTCTATACATATATTCATACAATTACTTTCACTCCTTTGTGTTCTCCTCACCACTCCCCACTCGTTCATCACACATTTCGTATGATATATGAAGACACTTTGGCCAGCGCTGCCCTAAGCTTTTCAATTAATCTTCATAATTGTAGTAGGCACACTCACTACTGATAAAATATTTAAGCCAAGAAAATACAATTAAGTCCAAACAAAAAGCAAACTCATAAATTGTTGTTGCTTTGGTGCTTTGTTGCTTGGTGCGGCGAATGCGTTGGCAACCATGGCATTGGCCACTTGGCAAAGTAGCCTACGCAGGAGGAGCTGGTGTTATGTATATTTGTAAGAAATTTGTATACATTTTTAATGACATTTTATTATAAGTGTTTATCTATTTAACACCCAACAAATACACATATGCCTATGTATATGTACATACTTATATTTATTTGGAAGCATATGTTGCGCTGCTTGCGAGTATTCAAGACTAATTAAATGCAAGGAATTTTGAAAATTTAAGAAATGTGTCTCTAAGAGACTTGGCTTTTGATATTAAGCATTAATATATTCACAAAATGGTTTGAAATATATACCTTTAACACATTTATAATGAGTTGAAGAAAACATTCTTCTTCAGCCTTTCATGAGTATGACTCAATTGCGCAGAGAAGACTTTGAAGATAACAACCCAAAAAAATATAAATGAACTTCTTTGAGCTCTATGTCAGTTCGTAAGTGGCAGATTGAAGGGCAGTGAAAGGCAGGGTAAAGGTGTTTGAAGTGGGAGCCACAAAAAGAGAAAAACTATTTTTACAGGACCTGATTGAATTGCACTTCTTTCCAAGTGGGTCGAAACGCGAACATGAAGTCAGCTGGATATTTCTTTTGATAGAGCGTTCAATCATACAAGGATCAGAACAAGAAGACCTTTTAAGCAATTTTTTCGAATATGTATTGTACTTGATCTTGGAAGTCCGACAGAATAGTAAGAGTGCTTAAAATGCCATTTTTTGTGCTTTGGAAACCGTGAACAACCTTTGTGTGATAATCGGTGCTTACTGCGATTCTCGTACCTTGAGCCATGGTTGCAAGAAAGAAAGCTTCAGTGGAGCTCCGCTGACATATTTGATTTAAGAGTTTAACTGCAATGTCTGCTCGCCAGACCTACGACTGCGAGCGGGGTGCACGATGCAAAGTAGAAACCAGCTCTAATTGAAAATATAATAGAGCTTTTGTTGAAAACTTCCTTGCCTTCCTTCTTGGAGGGTATTTATCTCAAACTTCTGTTTCCTTGATTGGCACTTGTTGAATAAGTTACAAAATGTAAGACAAAAACTACCGTTATTTATTGGGAATAGAATACGTCTTTGCAAGTTTTCACAGTGATCATATTATATAAGGAATTTGTGGTGGGAGAGTATTATCGTCCACCAGCTACCACTTGCACTACAAACTGCATCAAAGCAAAGATCTTCAACGAAACGGTGATGTGTGACCACGCACGCACCAGCACTGCCACTTCACAAAATCGAAGTCGCGCTTAACGAATTTAACGCCAGGGTGAAAAAAGAAAGTATCTAAGGGGACTTTCCTTAATGGACTGAGGCTGATCGAGTTCTCCGGAGCCCAAAATATGGTAATCTTCAAAAGTAGATTACGACATCAAAGCTACATACCATTTTGTTGTCTCTAATTGAAAATTACTCCCACACAAATCATCTATGTTGGAAGATGGATAATACGTCTCTAACATCTACTCGGGTCACAGCAACGCGTGCCAACACACAGAAAGAAAGATCGCCGTCAAAATCATGCAAACACAACCGGCAGCGAATCAGTTTTCTATCCGACTTGCACGCCTGGTCTATGAGAGCACACATAAACTTGGTATAATGGATCTTCCACAAGATCCAAACGTTCAGCCGTTAACGAAACTGTTGGTTTCCGACAAGATCAAAGGAAGCGCTGGTAGACTTGCGGTTGTAGTCATGCGGTGGCAAGAAAAAGGACTGCTAGTCTTGCAAAGTTCCGAACGGTAGAGTGAAGATACTGAGAGTGCAAAAGGGAAGGTAGACATATTTGAGAATGGAAAAATAGAGAGACTAGTACAAATGTGAAATCTTTGGAAGACGACCAAACAGAAAATGCTGGGAAATTCCATAAAAAAAAATAAAGCGACTTTTAAACGGAAAACAGATCTGGTGGCGGTAGTTCCGACTATTTTTTGGGATGGGAGCACTTCTTCACCTCCAAAACTGCCGTAAATAAGAGACTTTGACCCGAAGCCTCTATTGAAGACGATGGTATGGTGTTCATCTGTTAAATGTGGAACTGATCAGTTTTTCACTGTACGCCAAATCCTAGAAACTGTGCTGTCTCTTTGTCGCTATGCCTGCTAAAGCGATTCTTGGCCGGGTTCTATCTCCAAGTTTTAGTGCACGTTTTTTCATCATATGAAGAGGCCTACAGTTTATGCTAAGCCGCCTCCAATCAGTCTATGGATTTGTAAGAGTAGCAGTGATTTCCAAGTCGGAAACCTACTCGAAGGGATTGACATTCCCAATTTTCGATGTTGTTTGAACCAGATCTACTAACCGCTATATTCCTTGATGAATATCTATTATCGGTGCTAAAGTCTCAAGCTACCGAAATGAATATACTTACACAACCACATTTTATATATCAGCTCACCAGAGTTAAGAGAAACACCAAAGTTCAATGACGGAGATTGGGAGTTTAGTCGTTGTTATCAGTAGTACCAATATGCCTTTGAGTTCTGCCAGCTGCTCACTGGTTGCAACGGCGGTCTATGCTCAATCCTCTATTAAGCTCAATGGTAATATCCGAAGCGACTTGTTGTTGTTATTGTAGGTAGAATATTAAATTAAGGTATGCTAAACTGTGTACAGTACTAAGCCAAAGTGCTCTTATATAAGCATGTATGTATGTATTTATGTGCCTGGCAGCGGCTTTTAATACCCGGTTTAGTTAAGCGCTTTGTGGGTTTTAGTTCGTCGATTCAATTATTTATTAACTACAAACACGATTTGGTGCGAATTTTGGAATTTTCATGATTTACCGTTGTATTTCCGTGTTTTGTATGTAAATTTGTAATTAATTTAGCAGCCGCTTTCCACGCTCTCCCATGGACTGAATGTAAGATGAGTGAGCGCACGATAGTGTCTTGCGTTCGATGAATAGTTGCTTGAGTATTTTTGTAATTTACTTTTAAGTGAAAAACACTCACGCACAAGTGGTTTGGCGTCTTCTTCATTTAATTGAATTCATTTTAATCCTTCTCATTACTCTGCTCTGCTAACTTCTAAGTTTCTTAGTCATTTCGTTCGAGTACTTGTGGTAGCGTAAAATTGTCTGCTTCTTCAGTTTCTCTATTTGCTGTTTCTCCTCTTTATGTTTTTTATGTTTTTTATGTTCCACTGTTTCTATTTTCAACACTTCACAAGCATTTTCCGCAAAAACGCTTCCTTTGTGCGTTGAGTACGTTCGCTCAGTGCATCTAATTTGCTTTCGAGCAGACAAACTCACAAAAGGCTATTACTTCAGTCAAAGCTAAACTGGAGCTCTTCGACCGTAAAAGCACGCGTTTGAAAAAGCATCAAAGACGCTGTCTCATTTCAGTTTCAATATTAGCTTTGAAATGAGGAAATGACATTATTTCGCCATGAAACGAAAGGAAGGCGGCGAGGTGTGTACTTGTTGTGTGTAGAAAACGCTGGACTTAAGGCTTGAATCATTGTGGAAGTTATGCCATAAAAAATGGCAGCCGGGACTCGGCCCTCTCTACGCAAGTTCTACACCATATTAATTTCACACTCTTTTGCTCTCTGATATATCTTTTGAGAGTAAACCTACCTGCCAAAATACTCGCTTACTATTACCAGACTGACATTGTCTAAGGTATTCTAAAGACAATATCGGACGCAAGAACTATTTACAAGGTCGGAGGCGCAGCTCGTCTATTCTTATGCTGCGGGTGATAGTAGAGGTCGCTATAATATTGTGGAACCCTTTTTCGAAATCCAAATATTTCGACTTAATGAAATGGTGTTACTATGACTTCTTCAAAACGCTCTCCTGGACATTTCGTTTCTTCGTCATGTTTAATGCTCCTGGTATAATGTGCGCTTAATTGAACATTGCAAATAGGTTTTATAGCTTTAAAGCGTATTTCGTTGAGCTCCTCCTCTCATTTGTGATTAACTTACCTACATTTTAATCCGCCTCGGAGGCGTGGCTGTATTTCTATGAGCAGCTTTATTTTTCATGTTGGAAATGCACTCAGAGATTCGAAGTTCCTTGCTTGAGAACAACTTCGTTTTGGCAAAAAACTCTTCATAGAAGTCTGCTCAGGGTTGAATCCATACTGCCCGCTCGGTTATAAAGCCGCCATAGTGCAAGCGCTTCGGAAGCTATTGTAGTATTCGTCGGACGAGTTTTCTGAAGGTAGGCTTTCAATATACTTTCTTCAGATAAACTTTTCAAGGACCAATAGTTTTGAAACAATAAGGAGACAATGAAACTACTGACAAAGGGACAGACTACAGATTTCTCAGATCTTATATCTAGCTCTTTAGTAGTACCTCTCTCCTGCTTTGTCTTGCCCGTGCTGATAGTTTTCGGCAAGATCCAGCGATCTCCGAAAGCTCAATAGCTTTTTATGTTCGACAAAGGACTTGGTAGGGGTAAAATGAAAACTGCATAACAAAATCTAAGAGTAAATTATAACGCACATGAAATTTTCTTTCGTGTCGCTCAATTTTCTTACTCTAAAAATGATGTTGTGGATATACGTCTGAGAAATCTTATAATAGTCTTTCGAATTAAATAACTTTTCTTCTAAATCACTTTGTACCGCTTTTGGTTTAGTTAAGTTAAGGCGAATCAAAATGTGCTATGAAAACAACAATAAATTTCAACTTACCAAATCGGCGATATTCGCCACCTGTATTGCGTCGTGTATGACTTCGGCACGTGTACTGCCATTACGTTTCTCATACATCGCTTGGTCCACAATAATGGCCGTTTCGATGTATTTTGTTGCTTCGCGTACATCACGCTTATAACGACCGGCACCGTTCGGATGAATTTCATCGATAACACCGGCGGACAGATGTTTCGTGCGACGTGACAAACGCCACGTTTCTAAATTACCCGAATTGGCGCATCCTTTATTGGCTTTAGTGCGTGCCTCAAATATCACATGCGGATGCTTCTGTTGAAATGAATTGGAAATGAGAGAAGAGGCAAAAAGGAATTAGTTAAAAAGCACAAGTACGGATATAGAAAATGTGGTATGATATATGTATTGAAAAATAATAAATTTCACTTAAATGAATAAGAAATATATGGGAAATCGAGCAGAAATTATATTCATGAATAACAGCGATCGAAAGTAATGATTTTTTTAACTTAAGAATATTTTTAACACTCTCCAGCCTAAACTAGGAATTCCGTTTTCGCCACAAATAAATTCGGCTTTTATATTTTTATTTTCGTTTGAATAATCCAGCGAAAAACCCAAAAGAAAGAATAGGAAAACCCATGAGGGAGAAGTGTTAAAAAAAATATATAAAAATAAATAAATGATAATAAATTTATAAATAAATATTTTTAGACTTGGACGAAAGCATATCTATAAGGAACTTTTTTGACAGATTACGCGAAAGTGGTGTCGAGCCATCAGGTTATTTTTGCTCAGATTAGTTTGGCATTTCTACAAGAAAGGACATACAACTGAGTAAAGTTTAGAAACCATTCCACTTTATTTTAAATTTCAAGTTCTGTGGATAATGATTTTCCTTCGCTTCACTCAACTTATGGTCAACATAATTGACCTACTGAGCGTATACCATCACCCATTTGAGACCCAGCATTAACTATTGGTTGACATTCGAACGAATAGGTCACGTATCAGCACACAGTGAAGAAAATACAGCTGCAGATGCTGAGAGTTTACATGAAGACCGTGGAGAGTCGATTCGGCACAGAAACTGAAACCGCTCGACCTACCTCAGGGACATTGCTTCGCTCTGTGAGTTAACGAAAAGTTCCAAGAAAATTCCACGTCTTCGGGTCAAACTTCGTTTAGTGATGAGACTCAAGCGAAATGTAAACAAGCAAAATTGCTGCATTTGGAACGAAGTGCAACTAAATAGATTCAAGAGTTGCCATTTTATTCAGACAAAGCAACGATTTTATGTGGTTTGTAGGCCGTTGGAATCATCGGTCGTTATTTCTTCAAAAATGATGCCAGTGAGAACATAACCAATAAAGAACAATATTTACCACAACTGATAATTTGATGGCTGATATTGAAGCTCGTAGTCTCGGTGACATTTCGTTTCACCAATACGACACGACTTCTTACACATTGCAACAATCAATGAATTTATTGAGAGAACACTTCGGTGAGCAGATAACTTCACATTTTGTTTCGGTCGGTTGGGCACCAAGATCGTCTGATATCACACCGTTACACCTTTTCCAGTGGGGATATGCAAAAGCTAAAGCCTATGCGGACAATCCCGCTTCAATTCAGGTCTTTGGAGTAAAACATCACGCATGTCACTCGCCAGTTATCAATCGAAATGCTCGACCGAGTCATCGAAAATCGGACTCAACGAATGGACCATCTGAGACGTAGCTGCGGTTAATATTTGGAGGAGATAATCTTAGAAAAATAAATGTCAAAGAATGTTCTTTCGAATGATAATAAAAATTCTCTATAAAATTTGAAATTTCTGTTTTTTTTTGGTTTAAAAAGTAGAGCACCTCGAAACGTATGACCTTTTAACAAACGGCAATTTTTTTAATTGTTTTTGAGTATTCTCCTTATTTTTTGAGCACAAAACCTCGCAATGAAATCTTCTATACTACAAACTACAGTCCAAGTTGTTTTAGAGCTGTCCGATGGCCATGGAACACTGCTAAATATGCAGGGTAATATATTTTGCGGATTTCAAAATAAACGTTAATTAAATGCAATTTCAAATAATCTGTTTCATCCCTGTACTACCGAAACCACATAAAGGATAACCCTATAAATGTAGTAACATAATGATCTAACATTTTCACTCCTAGAAAAGGAAGGTTTTATGAGCTACGCGCTTAGCTGAAGACTGTCATTGGAACTATCATTAAAACTAGATGATTCGGTAACTGATAACGATATATAAACGATGTACCCATCATCTGGCTGGATATCAGCGATCGTAAAAATTAATTACAATTTAATTTTTATTTTTGAGTGCGATGCTCAGAAAAGAATTTTTTGAAAAATAAAACTAAAAAAATAATATTTAAAATTGAAGAAAATCCTAAATTTCAAATATCAATGAATATTTTTGAGGAAAAAAATAAAGCTCAAGAGAAAATCGTTATTGTTGTATAGCGAAAACTTCATTTTTATATTTATTATTTAATTGTTTTCAAGAAATGAAAAGTTGGAAGATTATCATCGCATTGGAGCGAAAATAAAAATATGGAAAAATAAAGGCTATCGAAAAGAGTTTACTTAATTGTTGAAAATTATAAATTTTTGTAAAAAACTAAATTAGTTATTTGATTTGAATTTTACAGATATTGACCATACATTTCAAAATCACTACCGAATCAAGAAAGTTCTCAAGCAATATGCGTTTATATATACAGTAAACTCAAAAGCGATATATGGACGTGCGTCCATGAAATTTTTCACTGAAAACAATAAAAAAAAATAATGACTATTTTCGATCTCTAGCCGAAATTCACACGAACGTACATATTAATTTTCTGTAAGAGAGTTTTCATCATAAACCTAAAGATGAGTTTCCGCATGATGTGGTTCCAACGTTATGACCAAAGAGCGTTTTTGTGTTACTTTAAATTGCATTTTTTGCAAATCTACTTTTTTTTTGATTCTTTGACAAAACTGAAATGAAAATCATCAAATGTAAGTTTTTGAATTTTTTTGGCGAGTAAAAGAAAAAAAATTGCCCAAAACCAGCTTACATGTTAATCTGTTATTTTTTGGATGCCAACTAAGGTATAGAAAGCCTCCAAAATCAAATTGTAACTCGTAGAAAACCGTTTTAAAATAGAATATTTCATTTTTATTTTTTAATTTTTTTTGTTAATTGACCCAACGCCGAAAATTTTTAAAATGCCGACAGAATTTGCAGGAAGTGCACACAGCCTGTATGCAGGCTTTTGTATTGTACCTACTCGTATATATGTATATACAAGTGTATATTTTTAGCCACGCTAAAATTGAAATTTGTATCGGAACATGGAAGCGTGTCATCAAAATTTTGACAGAACTTTTCAAATTTATTCCAGGCACACACGCGTCCATTACGAGCCAACAGCCATGTGCAGCGAGTTGGCGCGAGATGGGGCTCAGCGGTGTGAAGCATTAGAAAAGCCTAAGAGAACCAAACGTATATTTCTACTAAAGTTAGTGTGTATATATGTATGCAATGCCACATATCCACATTGCTTGTCTGCTCTGTTCCCTGTATGTCGAGGATCAAATGTCGGCTCCATGACGCTGGCGGCCACGCCACACGCCACATGCCAAGTGTGAATTTTTGGTGTCAAATTTGGCAGCGAACACTTGTGCGCGCCCCCACAGGCACTTCCCGGCATACATATTTGTAAGCAAGTATGTATGTGCAGGAAAAATCGAAAAGCCCACATATACATTCATACATATTTACATATGTTCATATGTGCATATGTATATGCGATAAAACCGCTTTGATTTTGAAGCACCCACATACCCGGCCTCCATCATCGGCTACATCGTTTGAATGTAAAACTTACACTCGACTTTGGGGTTTTGTTATTGGTAAATTAATCGTTGTTCGGCGTTGTTGTAATCACTACCCACAGCCTGCTTCAACTGCTTTGCTCGTCATTTTTTTTTTTGGGTTTTTTGCGCTTTCTTCCTTAGCGCCCTTAACCAATTCATCAAAGCGTTTTTCTTGCTGTTAAGGCCAAATTCAATTTTGACGACACACACTCACACATACACACACATAGACGATACACATGCATATAAGTACAAGCGTTGATTGCCAGGCATCACATACCCGCCCTTCTCATGTTCTCATTGCCGTAATGAGCAACAGTTCGTGACACAGCAATTGCTGCCGACGCGTCGCTTCAAATACAATCAATGCTGTTGTTGCGATGGCAAATACTTTGGCAATGACAATGTGGCCAAAATGCGCACATACATACATATGTATGTACGAGTATACATGAATACGAGTATACAAATGTATGTGAGTATAAGGCATGTTCATATGGAATTTGATGAACTTACACACATACATACATACGAGTACATGAACAAATTCTCGCCCTCTGCCGTTGTCTCACAGCTTTAACATTTTAATTAAATTTTAATTACTTTTGATGGCGCAAATGCCATCCCATATTTACTTGGATGTTCGCCGGATTGTCTTACTGATATTCAATAACAGGCTTAACGATGCGCATTTGTATATGGACGTCAGTATGTATATGAGGGTGGAAATATTTATGCTTTAAATACATATACAATAAATATTCTTAATGCAGGAAAACAAAGATTGACATGAAAAGTTGGCGCTAAATGCATGGTATGGTTGTATTAAATAAAACAAAAAAATAATAATAAAAAACACTTCCTTGGTTAAGTGGCAGTGGAATTTGTTATTTATTAAATAAAAAAATTACAACAAACTAAAATAATAAATAATAAAACTTTTAAGACCATATCAAATTCATGCTTTTTTATTTTAGAAATTATCCGATCTGACCGATTAATACATTTGATTTGCTCATTAACTCTGGTTGAAATGTGCCAAAAATTGAGGAACTAACGAACAGGACTGGGGAAACTCAGCTCGTCATTTTGCTCATATCAGTCCCTCTTCTCCTGCTGGTACTTACATACTTCGGGTTTTCCAATGAGAGGTATTATCTTGAATAGCCTACTATTCCGGTAGATGTCCCCATTTAAGCTGCAATTTTTTGACAGTTGACAAGTTAAAACTACAACCGCAATAAAAAAGGAAGCATGCGCTCTTTAGCAATGCACTGAAATTATTAAAATTTCGCATAAAAATGGTAGAAACCTGGCGGAGATAGTTCGTAAACTAAAATAATTTTCCGTCACCGTTAAGAACCTAGAAATGCATGAAAATGATACAGAATTTCAACGAAAAATCATCTTGCCTGATAAAG